GGTGGAGGGGGTCAATGGGGGAAAAAGGGGGACATCTGTAATACTTACAATAATAAAGATAAATTAAAAAACAAACAAACAAAAACATCTACTGCCTTCCAGCTGCTGTTGACACACAGTGATCATGCTAACCCTTCCTATGCACGGGACCTGATGGAAAATTCAAAGCCCTTTCTCATATACTCTTCAGTTCAAGCTCTGCAACAACCTGTGGGAGTATAATTAATGATCTCCAGTTTGCAGATGAGATGAATTAGCTCCATTTTACAGATGAGCAAGACGAGCTGTGAAGTACCTTCCCCGGGGATCTGCAGGCTGGATCTGGGTCTTCCCTTCCCCAGTGTGTGTTTGGTTTTTTCCATCGCAAACAGCGTCGCTTGCAGTTAGCAGGCCCTCCTCCACACTTCATTCATACCCTCACCAGGTACCTCCGACAACACACGTGTGTGTACAGGACAGCGACAGCACATGGGGTGGGGAGGGGAGGGGAGGGAAGGGGAAGGTGGGTGTAAGAGTCAGCTCGGGTACGAATCTCTGCTCTCTCTCTTCTTGTCACGTGACTTTGGGCAAAACGTTTCCTCCTTCAAGCCCTAGTTTTCTCATCTGTGAAATGGGAGATGATGATGAAGACGACGATGATGATAACAATACCACCAGATCCAGAGAGTTATGGTGAAGATTAAATGAAACAGCACAGGTAACATCCTTCACGAGTTCCCTGGCATGCTGTGAATGCCCAATAAACTGATTGTCACGACTACTTGTATTATCAGGAACTCCTGGAGGCCCAGAGACTCGAGACCTTGGTGTGGCGCCTGCATCCCCACCTCAGTGTGCAATGCTTAGAGCTCATTGAGTTTAACCTTTCCATTTCACAGATGAGAACATCAAGGCCAGAGGAGGGGGAGGAACTGGAGCCAGGTCTCACTGGGAGCAAGTGTGGGAATTGCTGTCTGACTCCTGACCTTAGGCTCTTTCTTCACAATGCCTTTCCTTCTCCAGGGCCTTGGTGTCCCTTTTGCTCCTTTCCTCCAACTCCACCCACCTCTGCTAAAAAGCAGTGTTTGCCTGAGCCTCTGGTCCCACCATGGGTGCTGGCACGTGGTTGCAGGCCCCAGGCTCCCTTGGCATTCTTTTCATAGAGCTGAGGCCAGGGAGGTGAGGGTGGGCCTGGGGCAAGCCTCCGAATGTGTGGGAATGAGCCCCCACCCCAGGAATCAGGCCTGGCTGCCACTGTGTGTTTGCTCAGGACCCTTTGGCAGTCATCCATGGTTAGAGAAAGGCAGGGCAGCCAAGACAAGACAGAGGTTAATTACCTTGGGTAATAGGAAATTGGGGAGCGGCAACAATAAGGGTGTCTAGGCCTCTGGCCAGGCAGGGGCAGAAGCCGCGGAGGCCCAGCCTGGCCCGGCCGATCTACCCGGAGTAGAGATTCCTGCTCAGGGTCACCCTCAGACTCCAACAACCCAAGGGTGCAGGGGCTGGCCACACGATCAGACCTTCTGTGGACCCTCTCTCTGCTGCTCTTTGTTTGCTTTCATTCAAAAAAAACAATGAAACAAACAAGGAAATTCAATTTAAACAGGGCCGGAGCGCTGCTGTTTCTGTTTTGTTACACCAGGGTGAGCTTAGGACAGAAAATCAGCCATGACTTTCACTCCTCCAGTTGGTCTCAACCCTGTGGCGCTATGCAAAACTGCATGGAGGGGCGGGCTGCAAAGGCAATCTGCCTTGCTAGGTGGGGTGGAGGGGGGCAGACTCAGAGAGAGACAGCAGGACAGAGAATCTCAAAGAAGAAACAGCAGAGAAACTGAGACACACGCAGAAATCACGAGAATAACAAATAGCAAAGCAAAGAAGGAATCATTGGGAGAATGGCAGGCAGACAAAGAGAAGAAGAGACAGACGGAGACGCAGAAAGGCACACAGTAGGGCAAAACAACAGTGAGAGAGGCAGAAGAGCTGGAAAGGCCAGAGCCAGGGAGGAGGGGAAGAGGGAGGAAGAGAAAAAGTCCCCTGGCAAAACCAAGCTTCCCCGAACTCAGGCTGGGGTCCATCTCACCCCCCTTCGTTTGGAAGGTGCTGAAATTGCAAAACAAAGAGAGGAACGTTTGCCCAAGGTCCCAGAGGCAGAGGCGGTGGCAGTGGGCTACGAACCCAGGCGTCCGGCCTGAGAGACTGGTCCTCCACACCTGTGCCCCCCGAATCCTTCCGTCACATCCTCTGGCAGCGTGCACAAGGGGTTCGGCGCCCGACTGTCCCTAATTAAAACTCGGGGGTCTGGGCCCAAGCTCTCTTTCATCTTATTTCCTCCCAGAAGATCCTGGACGGTCATTCTCTCCAGGGCTAGTGGGACCCCCCACGTGCCTCACAGGGTCTAGCCCCCCCCAGGATGGTCCTTGGAAGAAAGCAAACCAGCAACTAAGTCCAGAAGAATGACGCAGAGAGGAAGGAAGGAGCTAACTTCCTGCAGGCCCCTAGAGGCCGGACAGCCGGGTAGACCCCGCTCATGGAGTTTCTCACCTAATGCCCCGCCCTGTAACCCGGTGGGATGAGAATGATGGCCAGCCCTCTTTTTCCAGAAGAAACTATTGCACAGAACAGTGGAATAGGACTTGCCTGGGGGCAGGTGATGGGTAGGGGGCAGAATCAGGAACTGCCCCCAGCTCGGCCTGTCCTTAGAGCCTGGGCTCTTTCCACTGCCACACACAACCTTTTTGGCCCAAGAGGAGTAAAACTAATTTTGGTAAGAAACAAGCAAGCAGAAAATGAGAAGCCCCAAGAACTGACACTGGAACTATTTTAAACTCAGGACCAAGTCGGTCAGACTTCAGGGCAGGACAGCTGCCAGTGGGATGAGAGACGGGTCCAAACAACACCCAGGCTCCTTGTTGGAATGGCCAGGTCTCAGGGCCACTAATACAAGGAATTTCAAAAAGAAAATCAAGAGGTATGTGGAGTTAGGTATAGCAAGCTCACAAGCAGCACATTTCCAAGGGGAAAGAAGAAAGGATGGTCCTACTTCAAGAGGTAGGAAGAGGGCAGGGGTGTCCAGCAGTGAAAAAAAGAAGAGGTGGGGTGGGGGTTGGGGGGAAGGTCCTCACTTTTAAAGGATGGCAGGTGATTTCTCAGCTCTCAGTGTTAACTGCTTTTGGGGTGCCATAAAACATTTCACTGCTTTCTACACCAGGGGCGCGCAGGATTCCAGCCTAGCTAAAGTCAAGTCCCCGCAGTGTCACGGAGACAGGGCTACTACTTGTGTCTCAGATATAGGAACCCCCTGCCGGGGCTCTGCTCCCCTCTGCTAAGTGCTATCTCTCCCAGCAACTGCAGAAGGCGGGGGAAGGAGTTGAAATTAATTTTTACCACCAACAAGGGCAACGAGAGCAGTAGTGATAACAGCTAACACCTATGCTCCCACTGGGAGCTCATCGCCGAGTGCAGGGCTTTTGTGCACCGTCTCATCAAATCCTCCCGGGGTCCCAGTGAGCTGGCCATCGTGTGACCCGCCTTGTCACGGAGGAGGAAGTGGAGGCTTGGAAGGTTGAGAAGCTCACACAGCTGATAAAGAGCAGGGCGGAGATTTGAACCCAGGTCTATCTGCCTCCAGTCCATGCCCTTAGCAAGGGACAGAGGGACCAGAGGCCAGCCATCAGAAACCTTCAAAATATATCTGCTGAATAAGCCAGTAATGGATGAGTCATCAAAAATGCAAATGAATAAAAGAACTGATGACCAAATGAATGAATGATGGAGCATAAAATGGATGAATAAATAGATGGGCGGACAGACGGATGAAACAAAGAAGGAAAAGAGGGATGGATGGAGCGATAGATGATTGACTGGGTAGCTGGATACATGAATGAATCACTGAGTAAATAAAAGAAAAAAATGATGAGCCGAAGAATTGTAATCCTTGTGATAATGATGCTCACCCTGTTAACAACTACAGTTTCTAGGTTGGTAAGAGAGGTGGTCTGTGGTTTCATAATTAGGGCATATGAAGAAAACTGGTTTCTAGAACTCTATAACATGATGGCAGCGCCCAGATGTGGCAACAATCACTGAGATGGGGAACAGAAAGCAAGCATCTTTTCCCTCTGAGGTTACACACGAGTCTCAGAATGATGCCCCTTCCCATCTCCAGAAGTCTGGATGCAGGGACTCATACTCAATGAAGGAGTGATAATGCTGTCATTTCTAAGGAACTGGTGGGATCTATTACTAAAAATTCATATGTATATACATGCATAAACATATCTACCTATATGTAAATAAGTGTATATGTGTATATACACACTGCGTGTTTACGTATACAGAGCATATATATATATATATATACACACACACACACACACTTCAGATACGCTAAAATAATATTTTTCAAGGAGATATCATGAAATTGAGAAAAGAACACAGGCAGGGACACTGGCCAGAGCCCTCCTTGCTAACTTGTCACCTTCCCTCTTTGGCCTACAGATTCTTCATCTGCAGGAGGCATGTTTTGAGTTTCTGGCCTCCCTGGGCCCTTCAGCACCAGCCATGTATGCTTCTGTGACTCACTATGGCCACGCTTCTCCAATGGCCCCTTCTACACCTTAGCGCCTCAAGGTGCACACACAGGCTGGCCTACAAGGCACCTGGCTGGCCTGTGCAGGTGATCCATGCCTTGGCCTCCAGGCTTAAAACCGTCCTGCCTGCTTCACACTCCCCATGCACCCAGCATGTCTTACTTGTAGAGGCCGTCGGGCTCCAGACACTTGAAGATGACGGAGTAGATACTGACTTCAGGGACCTCTCCATGGCTTCGACCAGCTGCTACACAAGATGTGCCCAGGCCAGAGAGTAAGTCATCGGCAAAACTCAGGAATTCTCCTGGAGGGAGACAGAGAAAAATAAGCTCCCCGGCTCAGGCCTTGGTGAGTGGACATTCTTACTGTCGTCCAATCCCATCAAATATCTGCATACCATTGTCAGGAGGATTAGCACAGGGTATGAAAATGCCACAGGTTAGTACACAGTCCTGTGACTCTTTGTTTAAACTTATGCCTGAACTTTCTCAACTGTAAAGTGGGGATACTAATACCTACCTTTATAATAGGGTACCAAGGCTCAACTGAGCTCAACTGATGTGTAATAAAGACGCACGAAAAGGCTGCAGGGGGACAGTGTTCTCTGTAAGTCCCTTCCTTTTCAGAATTGCAGTTCCTGTCCTGTATAGAGAAGGAGCTGGAATAACAATGTAAGATAGGTTTCATGTTACCTGGCACTAGATTTACGGAGTGCCGTGTAGTGATGGACAGAGACCCGGTCCAGCTAAGGAGGTAAGAATTCAGTGACTGATTAGTGATGAAGGATATGGGACAGAAAGGGACAGTGGAAGAACACGTGCCCCGGACACCATGATTTCTAAGTCACCTGGCCATCACATGTTAGAAAGCAGCTGACATTTACTAGAAATAGGAGTAATATGGAAGATTCGATGAAGACTAGAAAGAATGAGTGAACATTTGGAAACCCGAGGTCACTTCACTTTGTTAAGAATCTGCTGCATAGCTTTGGGCAATCGAATTCCCATCTCTGAGCTGTCGTTTTCTCCTCTATAAATTGGAGGTGCTGGAATCACTATTAGGGTTTTTCAAAAATAAAATAAAACTATAGCTGTGCACAAAGATTAAGTTCTGAGGATAAGCATTGCAGCACTATTGAAACGAGCAAGAATTTAGAAATTAAACGTCCAACAACATAGAAACAGCAATATCAATTAGAGTTCAATGATGCAATGGAATATTTTATAGCCCCTACAAGTAATACTGTGGAATGGTATGAGTTACATGAAAGGATATTCATGGCATATTAAGTTTATAAGCAGGTTGCGCTATTACAGAATAATCTACTTTGGGGTGGAAATTTTACATGTGTACCTATTGAGAAAGAGGAGGCAAAAACACAGCAAATGCATGCTAGTTGCTGTGTCTGGAGACTGAGACAATGGTTACTGTTTCGCTCTTAGTTTTGCTTATCTCTATTTTCTCAAATTATCTACAATGAACATGTATTGCTTTTGTAACAAGGGGGGAAAATCAATAAAATTTACTTAAAAATAGGTGAAGTGAATGAGCCAGACCAAATGGCCTCTGTGTTCCCTTCCAATTCTAAAAGTGGACGATTTCGGAGCAAAGTGGGCACGTGCGGTATTTTATACCACGCAGGATGAAACGGTCTGAGGCCTCCCCACTGCGGAGCCCTTGTTCACCTTCCTGCCCCGCCAGAGGGCCTCGCACTCCCTGCTGCCTCATACGCTCAGTAATAACAAGGGGGGGACATCCGCTCAACTCTCTCTTCTCGGCTGGGGCTGAAGGACAATCCAGTTTAACGGAACCATCGTGGAACAGTGTCTGGGAAGAGTGAGACCCAGAGAAGCCAAGTGGCACTTCTGTCCCAGGGAACCGGGCGGGCAGAACACGCAGATCGCTTCCTGTTAGTGTTTCAGAGGAAAGGCCACTCTCCCCTCACGCGTGAACCGTGTAACGCTCGTCTCACCGAAGTGTCTGGGTGGGCCTGGGATTCAGGTGAACGACGGTTCGATAACGTGCTGGTCCCTGTGGTCCAGTATAACAGATCCGATGGGGAGTGTTTTTTGTTTTCCACTTTTTAAAAGGCTACCTACAGTCCACAGCCTTGATCCGTAGACGCCAGAGCGCGGGTCTGGATCAGGCTGCCCGTGACAGGCAAGTTCAGCCGCTATCGCCAGGCAGACTTGGGACTGAATTCTATTTCCACCATTTATTGCCAATCCCTTAGCCTCTTAAAGTCTAAGTTTTCCTTTCTGTGACAAGGGACCCATCACTCTTTTATGAGTTTGGAGTCTAGAAAGAAAAAAGCTGAGTCTAGGAAGAAACTCTTTGCCCAGAACGAGAGGTCTTGCTAGAAAATACAGGTAAATGAAACCCATTTTTTCTATTACAGGTTTTCGCATCCCCTGTCCCCTATTTCTTCTGTAGGCCTCTTCTGTCAGCTTCTTTCATAGTGAAATCATAAACCATGAATGTGTCTCTTCCAATAGGTACCACAGCAGAGCAACGCATGGGGTGAAAATGAAAAAATGAAAACCCCGGGGGGGGGGTGCAGGGCCTGGGATTATTCACCGAATGCAGTGAGGGCTTTGTTTCTCTCGGTTTCTTAGGATTCCACGTCTGGCTGCTTCCATTTGTTTTCTTTGAGCTTGGATCCATGTCTGTGTACTTTTCAATTTGTTTCCAGATAGCCATTGAAAAAGCTGGCCCTTCGCGAGGGAATTCAGTTTGCTGTGGCCTGTACTATTAATTGTCTTCCAGCCAAAAGATGGTTGGCATTCATCTTCAAATGGGCATAGCTTTCCAGATATTTCCATGCATTTCAGGACAATTTAGACCATGGACAAAAGCCCCATAAATACTGGCACACAGTCCTTCGGTTTACAGGTTCAGTTCAAATGAAGAAAATGGATAACATGGACTATGTAAACAGTCACACGAAGGGCATTCTAAGGACAGCGAGGTTCCAGTTCTATTTGGGACCATCTATACTGAAGGGCCTTCAAATGAAAAGAATGTGAAAGAAGAAAACTGACATTTAGTAGCAGCTTTTCTTCTTTTCTATTTCATCCTCACAGTAGTCAATCCTAATGAGTTAGATTTTAGGAGCTCATTGTAAAGCTGAGGTCACGCCTACAAATTTAGGAAGGGACAGGGCTGAGATTCGAACCCTTACCCTCCTAACTGCAAAGCCATACCTTTTCTTTTATACTGTGCTGCCTCCTAGAGAGAGTTTAAAACCGACAGTGTTAGAGAGCGAGCTTTCTCAATTCTGTTCAATTTGCCATTGAATTCATTCCACTCTCTTAGCTCTTATGGGCTTGGGGAATGAAACAATAAAAGAAATGGTCCCTGACCTTCTACAGCTTGTAATCTGACAACAGGAAGGGTTGTTAAATACGAGAACAGGCCCATAAAGTAAATTGTAATATTGCTTTTCTTGGCACTCTGTTCGAGAAGGTTTAAATGCAACCTAGATGGAGACAGGTGAACGAGGCAAGCCCTCGCTGTCCCTCCTCACTTAGCGGAGGGGGGATAAGAGAGGCCTGGGGCTTCTCTATGCACAAATGCATTTCAGTGCAATTCAACACACGCACTGTGGTTCCACAATATAACATCTTCCCCAGCGGGCAGCCGCACAACGGAATGACCGGTAATATAGCGCAGTGCATAAGAGGCTGGGCTCCGAATCGACTCTGCCTAAGATTAGATCCTGGTCCACCCCCACCTACGGCTTGCCTTGGACAGGTTCTATCTCCTCACATGTAAAAACCATACTACCCTGCAGTATGGTTGTGAATATCATATAAACTACCACGTATATTGTTAGAAATCAATTAGCACAATGTCTGGCCTACTGCAAGAGCCCGAAAATATTTCGACTATCATTATTGTTTTTGTTAACTATTGTTGTCATAATCCAGGAGAGAGATGAGGACTCCTAGGGATTATTTTTTATGCAACCCGCTCCCTCTCCAGGTGACAAAACTGAAGCCCAGAGAAGGAAAGTGGCAGCCCATGGCCGTACACAGTGTGGGAGGAAGACTTGCTCTCCTATCAGATACAGCAGCCAACCTATGAGACAACATTGCCTAGAACTTAAGAGCTTCCAGAGCTGACCCACGAGCCCTTTGCTCCTCAATTTCTAACCAACTTTATTCAACTTGAATGTGAGCCACATCTCCTGGGTGTTTACTATAGGCCAGGCACTGGGCTAGGCACATAGTTTCACCCTGCTATCTTCTTAAACTTGCAAACTCTGAGAAAGATAAAAATCCCAGGAGAGAGAGAAGGAGTTCAGCTGCTTTCCAATAGGCAACATAGTCTACCAGTGGTTTGCAAATTAGAATATCTAGAACTCTGGGGGTCAGAGGAATGGCAAATGTGGGGGGAGGGAGCTAAGTCTGTCTCCTCTACACCCATACCGACCTTCAACCAGATTAATTCCACTTTAATCTATTTTATATACTGATGGCCCATGTTTTATTTAGGTTGGGAGAAAACACTTAAAAAATAAAAAGCTTGGCTGAAAAGTTGTATTGCTGGAAATGTTTGAATCCTAAACCCCTGCCACCTTCCCTGATAGAAATACAGGAGTCCAGGAATGTTGCACCCCACCCCCTGCCCTGGGCTTTGCATCCACTCCAGGCAGAGTCCAGAGTAACCAGCTCTTGGCCTCTGAGATCCGTGTCCCTTCCACGAGGACACTGCCTGGGCCACCTCTGTCCCTCCTCCCTGCTACACCGTTATGGCCGAGCCTCCTAGGCCCCGGCTGCTGCCACCACAGCCTCACCCATGCCTGTCCAAGACTCTGACATTCTTTTTCTGTTTCCCTTCCCTTGAAAACAGATAGGGAGCTGGGAGTCGCCGTACAAGAATGTGCCTGTTCCCCATTATGGCTCTTCTGGGGCTGTAACCCGAGTGGGCTCGGGCCAGACCCCCACACATTTCTTTCTCCACTCAGGCTCCAGCCTTGCTCACATTACGATCCACAGAAAGGGTCGATCGCCATTCTAGGGAAGCTTCCAAACCAACCCAACAGAGCACAGAGCCGTTTTTTTCGGGAGGCCCCACCCCCTGCCTCCATTCTCTCTCCCGCTCCTTTCATCACTCCCTCAACCCTCTTCCTCCTCGCGGCTCCCTCTCCCTCTCTTTCGCCCCTCACCCTCTGCCTCCGATGGAGGTCACAGTCAAAGCTGGCCACAAGAGCAAATTGAAACCAGGTTGGGAGAAAAGCAGCAGAGAAATTCCAAGATGGAAGGGGTGGGAGCAGTGAGTTATTTAGCCCAGGTGGGGAGG